CCGCCGCCGCCGCCAACAGCATCCGGTTTACCAGCCTCCTGCGGAGCACTGGACGCACTCTCATTTGGCACAGACATGGTGGAGTTTGCGAAGATCATTGATTGGGACAAGCAGACGGTGGCCAACGATGGGGTCACTTTCGATGCCACGCAGACTTGCGTCAATGACCTCTTCCAGCAGAACGGTGGCGTGTGGCTTATGGAGGTGAGCGTGGATGGTAGCACCTTTTATGAGTGGTCTGTGTACAAGCAGATTCAGGTGCGGAATGCGTTCGATGCACATGGCTACATCTATTATTGGAGAGATGCAGACAATGTGCTAAATCAGGACTTCGAGCTGTATTCTGATGTCAACGATGCTATCTCCGGGAGTTCCATGTGGGCCACATGCACCTACAATGACCCGAAAGCTGGCTTTGCCCGAGACTGCTGCTGTCGTTCAGCAAGTCAGGCTTTCGAACCAGGCCAGGGTGGATCTGGCTGGGGCTTCTTCGCGCCATCTTCATTTCGGACCAACATCCGCTGGTCAAAAATCAGGTTCTCCATGCCGACGCAACCGCTGCCGACGTCACCGCCTTGAGATGTTTAGTTAGTTTTAAAGTTGTTTTAAAATTGCGGCAGGCCCGGCAACTGCTTGAAAAGTCAGATTTCCCAATTAGGCCCCGCATACCGACCACCTGTTGCCAGAAAAGGGGCGTCGGAAAGCGTAGATCAGGGGTGAGGGACCACTCTCCTCGGAGAGGTTGGGTTGACTGGCATAGACTGCAGTGCAGCCTCGACTGGTGACTGGAAGGGCTGATCGTGCAAACCAGTGGTTGGGGTTCTTTTTAGCCATTTTTGTTGTTTTTTGTTGCTATGTTTTGGTTCTTCGCTTGAATGGCCTCAAGCGCCGAGTCAGTCAGCCAGTCAGTCGGTCGATCGGCGAGCCCGCCGGGCAGTCAGTCAGTCAGTCGGTCAGTGCCAGTCAGTCGTACGTCGATCCGCGAGCCCACCAGTCAGTCAGTCAGTCCGGCGGTCGGCGTGTTCAAGATACATGACGAACCGGAATCACCAGATAAGGGGGCGGCATGTCTAGGATATGTTGTGAACCGGACTCGCCACATGAGGGCGCGTGTTTAAGACATATGGGGAGCCAGAGCCGGCAGATGTATGATGAACCGGAATCGTGTTCAACCTGTGTGATGAACCGGAGGCGCCAAACGAGGCGGCATGTTCAAGATATAGGATAATCCGGAATCGCCAAGTGAGGGGGCATGTTGACCAGTTTACCATGTATGATGAGCCGATATCGCCAAATGAGGGGGGGGGGGTGTTTAAGATATAGGATGAACCGGAATCGCCAAATGAGGGCGCGTGCTTGACATATGTGATGAACCGTTATCGCCAAATGAGGGGGCGTGTTGAAGATTTGTGATCAAACGTTATCGCCAAATGACGGGGGGGGGGGTTCAAGATATATGATCAGCCGGAATCACCAAATAAGTCGGGCGTGCTTAAGATATGTGGTGAGCCGGACTCGCCACAGATGTATGGTGAGCCGGGATCGCCAAATGAGGGGTATGTTCATCTTTTAATGATGAACCGGCATCGCCAAACGAGAGGGCATGTTTAAGATTTAGGATGATCCGGAATAGCCAGATGAGGGGGCGTGTTTAACATGTATGAGGTGTTCAATATAGATGGTGAACCGGAATGACCAAGTGAGGGGGCGTGTCTAAGATATATTATGATCAACCGGCGTCGCCGAGTGAGGGGGCATGGTTAAGATATATGGGATACCGGAATTCGGAATCGCCGAACGAGAGGGCTTGTTTACGATGTATGTGGAACTGGAATCGCCAGAAGAGGGGGCGTGTTTGAGACATATGATGAACCGTTATCGCCAAATGAGGGGCGTGTTTAACATGTGTGATGAGCGATATCGCCAAACGAGGGGGCGTGCTTAAGATATGTGATCAACAGTTATCGCGAAATCAAGGGTCGTGTTTAACGTATGTGATGAACCGTTATTGCCAAATGAGGGGCCGTGTTCAGCATGTAAGATGAGCCGATATCACCAAATGAGGGGACGTGTTTGAGTTATGTGTTGAACCGTTGTCGCGAAATGAAGGGTCGTGTTTAACGTATGTGATGAGCCGTTATCGCCAAGTGAGGGGGCGTGTTTAATTAGTTGATTAATACATATATATATATTAATATATATGTATATATATACATATACACA